ATAAAGGTGCTGCAGCAGCTGCAGCACAGCCAGAGGATCTCGGGCAGGATGGGTGAGACGGGACGAGGGCTCTGCTGCCCGTGCAAGGCGGTCAAGAGGCCAAAGGGGATTTGCAGCGTGAACTGGTTTTAGATGTATCTAAGTTCTAGAAGTTGCTTGTATATTTTTCTGTTATTTTGCGTGACATGCAAGCTTATGAATTAAAATTCAATTTTATCAAAGCCCTTCAGGAGCTGGGTTTCCCAGCTGTGCCCTGAGTCAAAGACACAGAGATACTCTCCAAAGTGTGGAAACTGTCAGAAGTCTTTGGCTTTCAGGTTTGTTTTTTTCTTTTAATTTTCTGGTTCTGTTGAATTCTGAACTCTCACTTATAGAGCTGAGCCAAGAGCAATGCCAGAAGCTGGAGAACAGAGGGAATGCGAGCGGGCTGTGAGCGTCCTGAGCACCCACGTTTCAGGCTGCATTTCACACGTCGTGCGCAAAGCTCTGCGTCAATCCTTCTTCTGGTCTGGCGTTGCTCAGCTGGGGTCAGCTCAGGGTGTTTCAGAAAACAGCGTGGGTTTTGCTTTTTTCCTTTTGTTTTTGTGGGCGCTTCTCCGCAGCACCAGGCACTGGATGCCCATGGTCCCCACACGGGTGAGGTTTTTCCCGTTTTGCAGACAGCGTGCAGCACGTTTTCCTGTGGTGGCATCGCCTGCTGCCCTGATTATAACGCCAAATATTCTGGTGTGCAAATAAAACTGGCCATCCTGGCAAGACCTGAGCCGCACCCCGGCCAGACCTCCGTTCTGCACAGGCTAGTTTTGGTTTTCGTGCTGTTTTATTAGAGTGGCAGGGACAATCTCGCATTTTATTCATAAGCAGCCATTTTTTCCTAACCGGTCGGATATTTTCAGCCCACGAGCTGAGCAGCGTTGTGCCAGCAGCCACTGTCACGTGCGCCAGTTCGCCCTGGGTATGGCGTGTGAATAGCTGACAACAACCTGACAGCCTTCCTGACATTGAAACAAGCACCCAGCTTTGAGAAAATGCTGCTGCGGCGAGAACCCTTCATGTTCAGGGGCTGAGCTGCCAGGAAAGATGTTTCCCCTGCTTGAAGATGAAGAACCTTCACCCTGTCTGGCCAGTACAAGGAAAACAAGTGTTGGATTTTCAGCGCGTGGCTGCCCACGGACACGCCTGCAGCGTGGTTGTGCTGGTGTCTTCTTGCTTCGGGCCAGCTGTGCCGTGGTTTTAATTGCGGACGCCAGGGCTCTGAGAGGCCAGAGGTGGTGGGTGAGGGAGGTTTTAATGCCTTCCCATGACGGATCTCCATATCGAGCTGCAGTGGTTTGAAGCCAGCTGGTGTGCAGGTCCCATCCTTCAGCAAAGACATTTCCGTGCTCTCAGCTGGGGTAGCTCTCAGCCTCCCCGAGGTTGGAACAAAGGCTCCAGCTGTTCTCCCGTTGCCACAGCCTTGTCATCTCCTCTCTCAATGTGCCTGAGCTCTGTCTTTGAAGAGGACCACAGTGGCTCCATCTGACCCTGCTGAGGACCTCCCTGGGTGGCCAGGCAGGAGCTGTCACCTCCCTCCCAGCCTAAATTAATTTCTGTCCAGTTTCTATAAATGCGTCTCTGTGTCAGTGCAGTTCTTCAGTTTCACTTTATTTTCTCTCCGTGATGTTTACTCAGTCCCCAGGGGGTATTTATAGATGGCAGCAGATCACCCGATGGCTTCTTTTCTCCTTCTAGGAGGGAAACCGAGCTCCCCCATGCTCTCGTGGTAGCACAGAGTTCCCATGAGTGTCCCCAAACAGCCTCCGCGCCCTCCTCTTGCTCCTGCCCGTCACAGTCCGTGGTTCTTAGACACAGTGACCAGGTCTTGGTGCTGAAGCCTCCCGTAGCCTCATGCTGGCTCAGCGTTCCTCTGCCTCGGCTGAAAACACGGTGCTGAGCCAGGCTGTCTCGTTTCCTTTGGATTATTTTGTTGTTGTTGTTTGCTTGCTTTGGGCTTAAATCCAGTTTCCAGCTGTTGCAAGGTTTGACCCTTATCCCACAGCTGAGGAGTTTCCTCTTCCCGCAGCTTGCCCCTTCTCCGGGATGCAGCGTGGGGGTGTGTCCAGCTCTCCAGGCCCTCAGCTTCCACCGAGCGCCCCGGGGATGTTTACCTGCCGCAAGCACCGTTTTCATCTCTTTTGGTCCTGAAAAAATGCCCTTATCATGACTTTGTGGGGTATATGGCCACCTCTGCTGACCCGGGACCTTGCTGATGAGCGACTGGTTTCTGTCGGACTAGAAACCCGCAGAGGAACGCTCTGAAGAATAAAGAAATATAAAAAGCCGGCAGAGCTGGGATGCAAACCCGCTCTCGTGGCTTGCCCTGATTTCACCTGTATTTCACAGAACGCCGGCTGTGCTCGTGGGCCGGGGTCTCTCCTCGTCCTGCCACCAGCCCCGGTGAGATGCCTCCTCTCCAAATGGCCTTTTAACGGGGACACACACA